TGTGCAAAGGCTTTACCACATTGGTTACATTCATAAGGTTTCTTTCCAGTGTGAGTTCTTTTATGTCTTAAGAGAACACTCTTATATGCAAAGGCTTTACTACATTGGTTGCATTCATATGGTTTCTCTCCAGTGTGAATACTTTTATGTGTTAGGAGATTACTGTTACGTGCAAAGGCTTTACCACATTGGTTACATTCATAAGGTTTCTCTCCAGTGTGAGTTCTTCCATGTCTTAGGAGATTACTGTTAAATGCAAAGGCTTTACCGCATTGGTTACACTGATAAGGTTTTTCTCCAATATGTGTCCTTTTATGTCTTCGGACATTACTGTTACATGCAAAGGCTTTACCAAATTGGTTATGTTCATAGCGATCCTCACCATTTTGCATTCTTTTATATATGTGAGGACTACTGTGATGTTCAAAGCCTTCATCATATTGAATATCTTCAGAGGGCTTCTCTTCACTATGACTGTTTTCATACCTGCAAAGATAATATGAAAGCTTTACCACATTCTTTACACTGATGAATATTTTTGTCCTTGTCACTTAATTTTACAATTTGTTGTAAAGGTAAAGAGGAATTACATATAGGTTTCACTACTATTTTTACATTCAGAGTGTTCTTCTCTGGGTTGTTTTGCATATTTAAAAACGTGATTGTGAAAATATTTGTTACCTGGTTCACATTTATATTTTTCTTCTATAAGATGTTTTATCACATATTTGTAGAAAACTGCAAGACCTCAGAGCTTTAACACACTGATTGGCTTCAAAATTTTCCTATGCAATGATTATGCTAAATTTGCAAAGGTAACTATGACAAACAGAAGAATTTCCACATTTCTAATACTTATATTTACTGCAGTGTGAGTTTGTGAATATTGCTAATGATGTTGATGTTGGTGTTTATTGTGTGAAAGTGTGTCAATATATGTGAATGTTGATTGCTGAGACAGTAAAGAGAGCTAAGTGCTGGCCAGATCTTTGTATTGTTCTTTCTATGGCCCATCACCTGTCATATGTTTTGCAAAACTTTGTCCTTCCTTACTTGTCTATTGGACATAATGAAGAGCTAACAATTGATATCAGGGCATAAAATGGAAGTCAGAACTTCTGAATGAGAGAGGGTTGCTAGGAAAAAGAAAGCAAAAAACAGCTGATAACGCAGACAGGAACCAGAACAAAGAGATAGAGTTGGCATTGCAGTGGGACACTGTGCTAGGTTTATTTGTGTTAAAGGAGAAACAGGGTTCAGGATCTGTCCAACTAAATTACCCAAGATTTACAATATTAAAAAGCCTCTGTTTCATTATTTGTAATGCTGTAAGATATGAATATCCCACATAAATCATAACAGGTATCACTTTTTAAAAATCTCCTCAAAATGGGGACTATTATATCTTTTAGTCGTTCTGTGAGGTACATTGCTTCTTTCAATATCCCTATGCTATCATGGCTTGTATTCATTGTGACAATGATATACCCATTAAAAGAAGAATAATAAATGACATGGTTTCACATTGCATTCACACATTTGATTTTTGTTCATCATAGACATGTGCTATATGGAGTACAGTTTTTCCACAACATTCTTGAGTTAAAAACTGCCCTTCTCACAACATTAGCAACATTAGTATAAGTACTATTTGCTTAGTATAATGTTTTGGACATATTTTCATCACCTATTTACTATAAATACCATTTGTGATATTTGAGTTGTATGAGATTAAGTTGCATTTCTATTGCAAAGCTCTTGTGAGGCTATGATATAAATTGTGTTCTTGAGTAAGGTACGGTTTCCATGCACTTTCTTAAGGAGTGCCTTGCAAACACACATCAAATACCTAACATAGAGGCACGTGGTTTGTTAACAAGTTAGTTATCATCAATAAATACACTTAAAGTAGTTCATTTATACTGTTCACTTCTCTTTCAAACTTTTAGGACATATTAAAAATTTCTCAGAATCATATTCATAACAGCTTACACATGAATATTACCTTTCATGTCTTCTAGAACTTTGACAATGCTCTTCAACATTATGATCTTCCCAATTGCAGCCTAAAATACAGTACCAAAAATATGATTTATTTTTGGAAATAAGGCAAAATTTAAGTCGTGATCTATGGTCAATGAGGTCAACCATTCACCTCATTCTTCCTCATCCTCAAGTGAAATTACAGAAGTGCATCAATAATGAAAAGTTTTCCCAATATTTTAAAAAGTGAAGAAAATTCACTGTCATACCTACAGCCATGAGATTTCTGTAGGTCTCCAGCATCACATCTTTGTAGAGGCTCTTCTGCAAAGGATCCAGCAAAGCCCACTCTTCGTGAGTAAAGTTCACATGCACATCATTGTAGGTCAATGCAGTCTTGGATATCCGCACATGTGTACCACAGAAAGCATAATACTACAACATTTGAAATGTATACTTCATTTACAATATTTTCCCATAATTCTGGTGTTTTTTCCACTTATTTTCTGACACATGGGTTCTAATGTTAACCACCAACTCCTTTTAGAAGGTACCTGAATAGAGGCTCACATCTCTAATTTCTATATCCTTTTCTTAGGATATATTCTTTCAAGAAAAATGCCAATTAACAGACATAAAAAGAGAGAGAGAAGTAAACAGATCAACTGTACTGAGAAATTGTATGAACAATTACTATCTATAAAAACAATGGGCAAGGTGGGTGTATTTTCTCATGTATTTAATTCCAAAGACCCCCAGGAGATAGAGGCAGGTGTATCTCATAGAGCTGGATGCTAGCCTGATTTATGCAATAAGTTCCAGGACAGTCCAAGGTATATAATAAGAACCTTATTACTCTGCAAAAATTAAGCAATCAAAAAAAATAGACAGAACTGAGAGATCTTTTCGTGAGATTCTACAGAGTAATGCATTCTCTCCAGCTCTGTACACATGTTCTAGAAACCGGAAATCATTTAAAATGTAAGACTAATACAATCTTGCTAAAATGAAATGTTTAAACTGTTACAAAATGATAGCTGAAAATATTAGCAATGTAAATGTTGATCAAAAATAGGCACAATAAGGGGCTAGATAGATGGCTCATTGGTTAAGAACACCGTCAGTTCTTCCAGAGGACCCTGGTTAAATTCCCAGCACTCACATGACAGCTCATAGGTATCTGTAACTCCAGTTCAATGGATTTCACACACATCAATACGTACAGAATAAAATTAAATAAATTATTAAAAATAAATACATAAATAAATACATAGTATAAAATAAAAGAGGCAGCATAGGGCATGAGACTTGGCTCAGTAGTGAAGCGGTCTTGCTGGTCTTGAAAATAATTGGGCCTGATTGCTAGTACTTCCAATAGGTGTGAATCAGGAACCATGAGGAAAGTGGATAGGGGTGACAAAGAAAACCTGGTAATGAAACTCCAAAGACAATACTCAAAGGTGGAGACTTAACTTTATTATCCAGTGTAACAGCCTCTGAATGACTGAAAAACCAATCAGACTATTCCATGCTATCCTCAAGTAACAGTAACAAACCTGGTTGGTATAACTATGAATTTTGAAATTTGGGAGTTGGTCAGGGGCAAGGTCACCTTAAGAGACTACCAGCAAGATGAGGGTTAGAAGTCACCACCCTAGCCTTGGAAACATTTTGAGACTTCACTAGTACTCTAGATTCCCTAGGAGATCAATACTGTGTGAAGTGGATCAGGAACTTTCAATGAGCCAAAGGAGTTGCTGAAGTTTCATTCGCCTTTCCCTATGGGCCTCTGAATAGCCTACCTTGATATAACCCACACATAGGAGCACATACCTAACCATTATCCCAAGTTCAGGAGTTCTAAGACCATCTTCTGACTACTGTGAGGGTGTGAGGGCCAGGCACATATGAGGTGCTTATTCATATATATATATTTTTTTTTCATATACATATATATATATGAAAAATAGTAGTATTCATTCAAAAAATTTAAAACAAGCACTATAAAAGAATATCACACAGTTGCAATCATATGACTCAGAAAGTTCAAGTAGTATTAATAACATAATGAAGATCTACACAAGAGCATATGCTTGAGATGTACAAAACCTACATTCCAGGCTTATCAGGTAATATAAAAACAGAACAAAAAGGCCAGCCATGTGAGACCACACCTAATCCTAAGACTCTAGAGCCACTTTCAGGTGGATTTCTAAGTTTGAGGCCTGCCTGGTCTATGTACCTGTTGGATGACAGCCAGGACTACAAAAAGCAACTTGGACTTCAGAAATAAAAACAAAAAATGAGGCCTATAGCCCTTAAAGAATGGAATCATTCATTAAAAGTGTACCATAATAAAGAAAAGAAAATAACTCCCAAATGAACAGTGATGAAAAATACTCAATATACTTACAAACCATATTCAAAGCCACATCAATAATATCACCCACCAAAATGAAGTAGCCTTCATCTCAGGGATGCACAGATGGTTCAAGAAATGAAAAATCCATCAATTTAATCTAACTTATAAACAAACTGAAAAAGAAAAAAAAAACCTGTTTATCTGATTAGAGGCTGAAAAGGCCTTTGACAAAATCCAACACCCCAATCACGTTTAAAGAATTGGGAAGATCAGGCATACAAGGTTCAAACTTAAATATAATAAAGGCAACAAAGAACAAGCGTATAGCCTATATAAAATTAAATCAAAAGGAAGATAAAACAATTTCACTGAAGTCCTAGCTAGAGCAATAAGACAACTGAAGGTGATCAAGGAGATACAGATTGAAAAAGAACATATCAAAGTATCACTATTTGCAGATGATATACTAGTATATACATAAGGGACCCTAAAATTTTACAAGAGAACTCCTACATCTGAAAAACACCTTCAGCAAAGTGGCTGGATACAAAATTTACTGAAAAAGTCAGTAGCCCTTCTGTATGCAAAGGGCTTAAAAGGGGTTAGAATGAAATTAGTAAAACAACACCATAAACTATTATCACGACTAGTATAAAATATTTTGGTGTAATGCTAACCAACCTAGTAAAAGACCTGTATGACTAGAACTTAACACCCTTGAATAAAGAAACTGAAGATATCAAAAGATGCAAGTATCTCCCATGTTCATGGATCGTACAATTAACATAATAAGAAAATGGTCCTCCTAATTATTTCAATCTACAGATTCAAAGGAATTCCCATCAAAATTCTAACACAATTATTTACAGACCTTGAAAGAGCAACTATTACCTCCATACATAATAATTCTATACAATAAAAGAACATCTAGTGATACCAACATTCATAATTCCAAGCTATTCTGCAGAGCAACAGTAATAAAAATTGCATTATATTGGCATAGAAACTGACAGGTTGATCAATAGAAACAAATTAAAGACCCAAAAATAAACCCACATTACTACAGGAAAGTGATTTTTGACAAAGAAAATAAAACCACAGAATGAGAAAAAAAGGACATTTAACAAATGGTGCCAGACTAACTTGATGTTTGTATGTAAAAGAATGCAAATACATCCATATTCACCACCCTGAACAAACCAAGTCCAAGTGGTTCAAAGACTGCAACAACTGGATCTACTAAATATAATAGAAGAAATATTGAGGAATAGCCTTGAACTCATTATAGTAATAGGTGATACCTCTGTGAATAGTACACCAATAGCTCAGACACTAAGATTATCAGTTAACAAAAGGGTCATCATGAAATGGGAAAGAATCTGGAAGATAAAGAACACTATCAATAGGACACAAAGCAGCAAGCAGACTCAGAGAGGACCTTTGCCAACACTATATCTATCTGATTAAAGGCTACCATCCAAAATAAAGAATCGAAAAAAGTATAAACCAACAAACCAAATAACCCAATTAATAATGTGGTACAGATAGAAACAGAGACCTCTCAACACAGGAAGCTTTAATGACTGAGATTCATTAAAAGAAATGTTAAATTTCTTTAGCAATCAGAGAAATGCAATTCAAAACAACTCTGCATTTCCATTTTACACTTGTCAGAATGGCTGCGATCATAAACTCAGATTTAAACACATGCTGATGGGGATGTAGAGCAAGGAAAACATACCTTCAGGGCTGACGAGAATGAAAACATATACAACCACTTTGGAAACCTATCTAGACATTTCTAAAAAAAAAATTATGAACATACCTACCTCAATATGTATATACCTCAATAGCTATATGACCCCTGGGAATACAACCAAAAGACACTCTACCATTCCACAAGAACACTTGATCAACTATGTTCATAGCAGCTTTATTTGTAATAAATAGAAACTGGAAACAACCTAGATGTCCTTCAGCTGAAGAATGAATAAAGAAAATCTGGTACAGTTACACAGTGGAAGATCACTTAGCTATTAATAATAAAGACTTCATGCAATCAGCAAATGAATGGAAAGAGGAAAGATTTTTCTGAGTAAGGTAGCCCAGACACAAAAATACCCACATGGTATGTACTCACTTCTAAGTGGAAATTAACCATAAAGTACAGGATGATCATGGAACAATCCACAGGGATCTGAAGCAAATTGAGGGAAGAAACAGGGTGGGAGGAGGAGCGGGGAAGGTAACAGAGATGAATATCAGGTATGTGGAGAGCAGATGAGAGAGAGAACCAGGAGAGAGAATAGAAATCAACACAAGGGGTACTACTGATCTCTCTTAAAAACAAAGAGGCCCCATCGTCAAGAGGTCTCTTTGAAAATGACTGTTACCACAAAAGGGCCATGACACTGCAGCCCTTCATCCCCCCCTTGTGCTTTCAGGCACACCCAGACCCACTGACACCCATATACAAAACAAGCATGAAGAATGATTTAATATATACTTCCTTTCACATGGATTGTGTAAGATGTAGAATCTGCGATATTCACCTACTATGTACACCTGAGAAACTTCCAGATCTCAGAAGTTGCTTTAGGTATCCTGAAATTGAATTTCCCTGGATTGTGCCATTGTGGCTGGTGATAACAGAAAGGCAAATAAAATTCTAACCAAGTATTGTTGAATCAGGATTCCCATCACCTCATATATACTAGTTTCGAAATTCTGTATAATTTTTTCACACAAAATTGAATGTGGAAGTCTAGGTTTGGAACTTTTAGAACCAGACCTTATGATTTTTAATCTGTCTTCCTATTGCACATTGTGTGCATTCCGCAGTATTATTATGACACCATACCCTTCACTGTAAGGGCTGCAAGCCTCCCTGTCCCCATGGAAACCACACTCACGATGGGTCAGAGGCGAAGGGTTTCAGGCAAAGGGCTTCTGCCCAAGGCAACAAATAGACAACGAGAACCACAATTCTGATGCAGAGTCCATGTTATTCCCAGCAGATCAGACTCAGATAGTTTAGCAGAATTGCTCCTCCTAGCCTGGGGAGAATGACCTC